GACATGTCCGGGGAAATCCGGACGTATGGTAACCCTACTGATGGGCTGTGTGCCAAAGGTTGCCGATCCCTGGTATAGGGACAGTAGAGTGAGTGCAGCCAAGTGGCTGTCGATCAAGGTGTCCACTGTGTGACTTTGGGTATCTGCACACGTGCAGAAGGGACTCCTGGCCAGAGAAGCACGGGTCTCAAAGTCCCGTGATGGTTATGATTCATGTGAAGGGTACTAGACTTACTTTGCCCTGCAACAGTTACTAGTTTACCTAGCAACAGTTCCTAATTTGTTAATCTGTTTACCTGTCAATAACTCCATCATGTAGTGATTGTAAATCAGTTGTTAATATATACACTGTATATACTGTTACCAGTTCTTTGGCATTATCTGGCTAGGCATTATCTGCTAGCTAGGTTCTGCCACTGTGACTCTGCCCAACCAACAGAGTTACAGTGTTTATGATTTCATTTCTATAATAAAAGCTATTGTTTAAATGCTAACCAAAGACTCCGGAATTGGATATCTGAAACCAGGCGGGTAGCAGGAGGAACCCGCCAAGGAGCAGTATTGCTAGGGAAGGTAAAGGCCTAGTAGTACCGTCAACAAGCATGTTTTCCCCCTGCAGTCAGAAAATGAAATTGACAAGACCTTTGTAGGTGGTGAGCCATCATTTTGATTTTCCCAGAGGAAAATTGAAATTTGTCAGAAAAATTGATATTTTCCCACAATTTTTTTTATTTTTTGCAAAAAAAGGCATTTTCCATTGAAAAATATTCTGATAGAAAATTCCTGACCATTTCATAATCAGCAGGAACATTGAGCAGATCAAGAGATTTCAGGCTCCCATGAACACACACTGCTAGTCAGGTTTCATAAAGTTCTGTCCAAACTTTTTAGTATGATAACTATGACCATTAACAGAGATCTCCAAAGGAGACAACAACAACTGATAACCAAAAACTCTGGAGACTTGCCAGTTGTAATATGTAAAGTTATGTAAGCTACCCAAATTAGTCAAAACAGCTTTGAAAAGACACTACAAGCTCTCTTTGCAATCACTAGTAGCTGACAGCAGAAACGGGTAAGGCTAGCATGCCGTAGTTCTATATTTTTGCACTACCCGCATCATACATAGAAGAGTTCCAGAAGATTATTCCTCCACAAGGAAAGAGCTTCTGCACAGAAATGCAATTGGAGTTGCTTTCAGATGGAGACAGATGCACCTTTCTTGGATGGCAAGCTAGCACATGGGACAAAAATTGACTCAAGCTTTATAATAATTACATAGTATTGAAAATTAACATTCCTTTTAATGGCCAAGCAAGAAATAGTTAACAAGCATAGAATCTTACAAGTATCCAGTTTCATCATGGCATCTGTAAAACGTCCCATCTAGCAATAGAAACCATAGCAGCAATTTAGCAGTTTACTCCACTTACCCATTTCCTGCCTGGTACTGCATACTCCTGTCCCATAGTTCTGTAATACATCAGCCACTGTTTTCAAAGCATTAGCATCTGTTTCTGCAAAGCCGAGGTAGTTATAAGAGCCCATGTTGATTACATCCTTGATAGTTCTTCCAGTAAACCTACAATTAAAGCAGATTTTAAAGAAGGAGGCAATAAATAAATAAATATTTATCCATCAAGTTTGGTTCTATTGCCATATTCCAATTTGGGAAATTACATTCTGTATACTTATAGTCCTATTTATAATTTCCAATTGTTTTTTACTTAACTGGGTCAAAAGAGGAGGTCACTTACTGTAACTGGAGGTTCTTCGAGATGTGTGGTCACTATCTGAGTTCTACATGTGGGTGCGCATGTGCTCCCTGTGCTTGAATCTGGAAGTTTTTTCCAAGCAGTGTCTTTTGGCCCGCACATGTGCAGTATGCCTCCTCGTGCTCCCGACCAGAGGTATAAGGGACAGTGTGGGTCGATACCACTCCCGTTCCTACTCTTACTGCAATGTGGTCAAGTCCCAAGCAGAGGGGATGGAGGACAAGTAGTGGACACAGATAGGGAACACATATCTCAAAGGACCTCCAGTTACAGTAAGTAACCTCCTACTCTTCTTCTTCGAATGATTCCACACGTGGGTGACTTGTGATCAGTGTGGTGGTGGATGCAAGGAGGCTACTGGCAGAGCCGTTTGCAATACAGCTAATCCCACGGCTTTGTTTGCAGCTACTGCATGATCGAGGGCATAGTGCATTGTGAATGTGTGTATGGAATAACATGCTGTGTCTTTGCAGATGTCTTGCCACAGAATGTCAGCTAACGAAGCGGAGGAAGTGGCTTGTGCCCATGTAGAACTGTAACGCCCCTGAGAGCAAGCTGTAACGCTCCCAGGAGAGGAGAGGTTTGATATCTTGTAGCATTCCAGTATGCAGCCTGAGACCCACTTGGAGATCCTCTGTCAGGATATGGTTTGGCCCCTTGATATTTTTGCCAGGGCTACGAAGAGTGATGGAGACTTTTGCAAGGGTTAGTTCTTTGTAGGTAGAATGCCAGGGCCCGACTGACATTGAGGGAGTGTAGTCTCTTGTCTGTAGGGGAAGTGTGTGGTTTTGGGCAGAACACAGGCAAATGGATAGATTGGTTGAGATGGAATTCTGAGATAATCTTAGGGAGAAATTTGGGGTGTAGTCTCAAGGAAACTTTGTCCTTATGGAATACCGTGGAGGGAGGGCCAGCCATCATGGCTGCTAGATTACTAATCCTTTGGACCCAACTTGGAATGCCACTTTTATGAACAGGTGGGCCATGGTATAAGTTCGAAAGGTAGTCTCATGAGGCCTGAGAGGACGAGGTTAAGGTCTCTCTGAGGTGTGGATTTGGTGAATGGTCGGAAGGTTTTGAGCAGGCCTTTCATGAATCGTACCATCGTAGGGTATGTAAAGATGGAGCATCTGTCCACTGGGGGAAGGAAGGCCACCAAGATGTACATCAATAGAGCGGAGAGCTAAACCCAATGTTTTTAGGGCAAGGAAGTAATCTAGGATGACCAGAATGGCCACCCTGTCTGGTGAATGGTGGTGGTGGCAGACTCACTCCAGGAAGCAAAACCACTTTGCTTGATAGCATGTTTTGGTTGATTCTTTTCTGCTCTGGTTAAGGATCTGCTGGACTGGTCTGGATCTGCTCTATGTCAGACACCCATCCAAACACCAGGGTGTGAGGTGAAGTACAGCCAGGCAGGGATGTTTGAACCTGCCCTGATATTGTGTGAGAAGATCTGGGGATAACCGGAGCCTGATTGGTGCATGGGTGGAGAGCTTCATGAGGTCTGTGAACCAGAATGGTCAGGGAGGGTAGGGTGCTGTGAGGATGATGGTGGCTCTGTCCCGATGCACCTGAGAACCTGAAGCAACAGGGGAATGGGGGAGGGGGAGGAGGAAGCATATTGGAGGTGGCCCATCCATGGGAGCAGGAGAGCATTGCCCTGAAAGTCTCTTCCCACAGTGCCCCTGGAGCAATACAGGGGGCGCTTCCAATTTGCATATGACTTGAAGAGATCCCAGTTGTAGAGGTTGGTCAGTAATGTGTCCTGGAGTTCCCATTCGGGATCACTGTGGAAAGTCCTGCTCAGTGTGTCTGCCAGGGAATTCTGGGTGCCCAGGAGATATACAGCCTTTAAGGTCATCCAGTTTCTATTGCACCAATTCCACAGTCTGACCAACTCTGAGCAGAGGGAGCGAGATACGCCCCCTCCTTGTTTGTTGATATATGCCACTTTGGCAATGTTGTCTAAAAGGATTTGTATGTGGAGAGAACATAAGAGGGGAAGAAAAGCTTTGAAGATTAGGCAGACTGCCCTGAGCTCCAGGACATGTGTGTGTTTCCTGGCTTCCCATGGTGTCCACATGCCCTGCATTGTTTGGTGGTCCAGGTGGGCAACCCATCCCATAAAGGAGGTCTCCGTCATGATGGTGGCCTTTGGAGTGGGAGGGCTGAAGGGAGTCCCACTCATGACCTTGGATGGACTGGATCACCAAGCAAGAGGGGTCAGAACGTCCAAGGGGACAATGACTCTGGATACGATGTGGTCTCTGTTTGGCTTATAGGTCAGGAGGAGCCGAGTCTGTAGTCACTGCATTTGGAGTCTTGCAAAGGGCATCAGGTAGGTACAGGCTGCCATGTGCCCCAAAGGGAGAGGCATTGGTGGACTGTCATGTGGGGCTTGCGGCAGATGTAGGCATTTAGGGAGCTCATTGTGGCAAAGCCTTCTGCCAGGAGGAAGGCCCACACAGCAACCAAGTCCAGTCTCATCTCTATAAAATTTATAAATCTGCGTAGGTGACAAAATGGACTTGTCTTCATTCATGCAGATTCCTAGGGAGGCCAAAAGTCTTTGAAGAGATTGAGTCATGGAGACAACTTTTTGTCATGATTGTCCCACTAGAAGCAAATTGTCCAGGTAAGGGAATACGGTGTGACCCTGGTGTCTCATTTGAGCCGCTATGAGCATGAATACCTTTGTAAAGATCTGTGGCTGAAGGGAAGAAAACAAAACTGGAAGTGTCAATGTCCCACCTTGAAACAAAGGAATTTCCTGTGGAACAGATGGATGTCTATACTGAGGTATGCAATTTCATGTCAAGAGCCGGGAACCAAGCTTCCTCGTGGAGAGAGGAAATCGATGTCAACATGATCATGCAGAATTTCAGCTTCCTGATGAATGTAATTTAGCTGATGAAGGTCCAGGATGGGTCTCCGCCCTATGCCTTTTTTCAGGATGAGGAAACATGGTGAATAGAATCCTTTCCCTTGGGGTTGTGGGGGAATGCCCTCTATCACACCCTTGCGGAGCAGGAAGTCAGTTTCCTGCCGAGTAATCAATTGTTGGGAGAGATTCCCTGAAGGGGGTCGGGGGGCGGAGAGGGATGAGGCGGGAAGGAGACAAACTCTATGGAGTATCTTTGATGGATGATCTTCAGTATTCAACTGTCCATGGTAATCTTGCCTCAACTGTGGGCAAAATGGGCAAGGCGGACACTGAAGATGCTGAGAAGGAAGCGGTTAGCATTCATAGTGGTTTGAGGGTGTTGACCCGCATGTCCAAAATGGCCTGTGGCTGAGATAAGGTCAAGGAGATGGTAGTGGCCGGAGCTGGGAAGTGGGGCCTCTGGAACCTCAATCGTTTTCAAGGGGGTTCCGGTGGCTGCTGGTAATAGGGCAGATAGGCAGCCGGGGGATGGTATCTGAAAGGCTGCAGCTGGTAATTCCATGTAGGGGCTGTGGTGTAGATTCCCAAAGAGCGTAGAGTGGAGCATGAGTCCTTCAGGAAGTGCAGGGATTCATCTGTTTTGGCATTGAAGAGATTGGCTTTGTCCAAAAGGTGGTCTTCTGGACCTCCCAAAGGAACCCGGACAATTGAAGCCATGAATCCCTGTGCATCACAAGTCCAGTGGCTAAGGGAGAGGGAAACAGTTTCAGCTGCCTCCACCGCTGCCTGGAGGGCGACCTTCACCACCAGTATACACTTGTCCATTAGGGCCTGGAACTGGGCCTGGTCTTCCACAGGAAGCTTGTCCTTAAACTCTGCTAGCCTGCCATATATGTAAAAATTGTACTTAGCTAGCAGAGCCTGACAGTTCACTATGTGGAATTGCAGACTCGCCGATGAAAATGGAGGTAAGAATGTCTTTGTATGTCTGGGTGTCGGCAGGGTGCCCATGGAGACTTTGGAGGGACCCGATTCCATAGTCAGACCTGTTCTGTCTGCATGATGTTGAACTGGCACCGTCGGAGTATCCGGAGCCGCACTCATAGACGGGCACTCTAAGAGTCCTTGTACGGGCATTACTAATGGGTCCTGCTTCTTCTTTGCCTTATCCTCCAGATGGGGTGTGTGTGTGTGTGTGTGTGTCTTTGGCACTGGTTCCGCGGGGTCCGGGCGTGACATCTCACCCGACTTGGCATAACTTGAGGAGAGAATGCATCTCTTATGAGCAGTATGCTGCAGGGATCTGCTCTTGTGCCCATGAGAGTGTTTTTTGCTCTCGTGGTGGGACTTGTCCTTACTTTTCAGTGTTGGCGGTTACACACCATGGCTTGTGCTTGGAGGGGCATTGCCGGGTTGTGGAGGCTGTTGTACGGGGGGGGTCTCCCTGGCCAGGATCTGGCATCCAGGGCCTCATCGCCTCTTCCATCAGGAATTTGCAGAGATGGAGCTCACAGGCCTTTCTGGTTCTGGGCGGGAAGGACTTACAGATGGTACACTTTGCCGAGATGTGTGCTTCTCCCAGGCAGTATAGGCACCATCACTAATAAAATAGGAAAGAGGGCAGGAGACGCAGTTCTTGAAGCCTGGGATCTTAGACATAATCCATCAGTGTTGAGGGGTTGAGTCCCCCGACTGGGGAGTGGTTCTACTAAACTACAAACTATACTACAACTATATCAACTATATTAATTATCCTAACTAAGCTATAGAGTAAAATTAAGTCTAAATTATTTACAGTAGAGAAAGGCAAGTCTCATCTGGTAAGAGCGAAGGAGGATCAGGGGTTCCAACTCAGGCCATGTGGCAGTAAGAGGGAACTGGAGTGGCATTGCCTGGTACTGCCCCATATACCTTCAGTTGGGAGCATGAGGAGATGTACCGTGCATGTGTGGGTCAACAGACACTGCGTGTGCACCCATGTGTGGAATACATACAAGGCCCATCACTCGAAGAAGAACAGTTTGCTTACACACAATGTTTGCCACAATGTTCCATCCTACAGGTGACTGCATTTCAGGGTCGAGTGAAACAATGCCTGTATATATTGTTTCAAAATTGCCTTAGGATCGTTCAGGAGGAACAATGTACATTTGACATATGCTTATCCGCTTCCAGACTCTGTTGGACCATCAGAGGCATGGCTTCCATCGAGTTGTGTTGAGAGCCATTACCAGAGGAACAACCGTGCATCATACATTGGAAAAAATACGGAGACATTTCAATGTAATTTCAATAATCTGAAAAATAATCCATAAAACCCACATGCTGCAACACTCCCAATATCTTTCCAATACGTGCGTTTACTTTTTCAAAATATTTCAGCAACCATAGTATAAACAGGGACACTACATACGCTTTCACTATAGTGCTTTTCTACCTCAATTTCAATAGAATGACGTTGAGTGTACATAAAGCCTTAGGTTCCAAGCTTGAAACTCAATACCAAAGAATTGGGGCAGATCCTTGTGTGTAATTCAGAAGTCTCATCTACACAGCACAAGCAATCCTCGTTCACAACTGTGCTTAAGAAAGGTTTAAACCAAACTGGGTTATAAGAGAATTTGGCTGAGCAGTGTGGATGGGTCCAAACTGTGTTATAAATGCCTTTAAATCTCTTTTAGGTTTTTACCTGGGTTAAAGCAATTTTTTTTAAAAAGCCCATTTGCAACATAATTTGGCCTCCTTCCATGCTGCCTGCCCAAACAGTGTTTAGAAGCGCAGTGCTCGATCTTCAGCTGGTGTAGAACCACTGACTTTAATGGCTGAAGTGTTAAATGCTGTTGTTTGCCCTTTGTAGATGGGTCAGAAATTAGTTTTGTAACACCAGTAACCTACATTTAAAGCAGATTTTAGAGACGGGGGCAATATATAAATAAACAAATAATATTTACCCATCAAGTTTTGTTCTGTTGCCATATTCCAACTTGAGAAATTACATTCTGCATACTTATATTCCCATTATCGTTTTCTACTTTCCTGGCTAAAAAGCTGTTGCTTGCTACCTGTAGCCTGACCCACCTAAATGTCCAGTTGAAATCATCTGTAACACGTTCCATCAGGTCAAACTGTGGCCCTGGGACGCTGCAGATTGGACGGTTCCAGTTATCTCGTATTCTCATGTAGAGGTTTCTTGTATAAAAGTTCTCAAAATCTTGATAAAGTGGCACAAAATCCTGGTTTGAAAACATGTACAGGGTTACATTTCTAGGAAAGTCACCATCTTATGTCCTTTATTTATTTAAATTAAAAAGACAGACTAATTCATTAAGAAACTGGTAGTAGTACAAGCCTAGTGTTCCTGTGCCATATATAAACTCCCACATTTGCAGATTTGCTTAATTACCTAGATTACCATGTATGGCCCATTTATTTCTGCCTGGCAAGTAGCAGAGAACTCATGAAAGGGCCCAATCTTCTGAAAGCTCATACCAGGAGGAGCCATCATGCCAGATACACACTGTGAAAGTTATTTTGAAAATAGAGAGTTTCATTATAATGCAGAGCTGCTAGCAAATGTGGGATAAAAAGCCCATCATAATCCATAAGAAAACAGGTTCATTAGATATAACCTGAAAACCTACAATGGTTTATTTGGATATTTTCAGCCTAGACTAGACGTTCCCACCTCAGTTTATACATGCCTTCTTCTTGTAGGGCATTGACTTTGGTTGACAAATACTTAACCATGGATTATATATATGTTGCATCACGGTCATACCAGTTAGCAAATATATACATATGAAATATGAGAATTAGCAGAATATACAATGGTGTGGTAAAAAGGTTTTATTGGAAAGTTTAGGATCATCATTATTCACAAGTGGCCAAATCACAGAGGACATATCAAAAGTGTGATAATGAAGTCTTTATATCCTGCTACTTCATTATGTAGCTTATGCTGCTTTAAAAAAACCTACAAAAACAAAAACATCCCGCTCCCTATTTTAGGAACAGTACCATCTTCCAGATTTTTTGAATGGAGTTGGTATTCTTTTTTGTATCTCTCCTCCTATAGCTCCATGTCCCTTGACTCAAACTACAGAAGGCTCAGAAGGAGAAGGAAATTATAAACTAATCAATTTTAGAATCCATACAAATGATTATAAAATAGCTTTTCTGTGTATCACAATGCCGTGACTTTAGGGTCCCATATCTTGAGCCTACCAGGGAAAGAAGCAATTCTTGGGTGTCTCGTTGGAATATGAGGATCCCTCACTTATTTCTAGCCCTGATCATGCACAGGGCTTTGAGTGGTAAACCTGCCACCAATCCAAAAATGAACTGGTCAGTCCTGGCCCTCAGACCAATGTAATTTTGGAGTGGGGACAGGTGAAGAAGGAAACATTTGTGATATATATGGCCCATATTTGAAAGCTGCTCAGATTGTTAGAAATAGTGTCCCCATGGGAATCTAAGGGATCAAGCATGAATTGATCATCGATAGTTGCTTGGGATCATTCATGCTTCCACTTCCTCTGGCAGGTCTGCTTTAAATTGTCTGGATCAGTATCAGACAGACTGGTATTCGATATGGATATGGTCAATTTAAAGCAGATCTGCCAGAGGAGATCGAAGCAGGCATCTAAGGCAAACTGTTTTTGTTTTGTAGCTGGAGCAGAAGAATCAGACTAATTTATGATTTACTTGGCAAACACACACTCTGGGACGGGAATCTGCCAAAATACTCTCTGTGGAGTAGCGAGAGGGCAGCACGACAATGGTCTCCACTTTAAAAGGGATAGTATCATAATATTGTCATTATTGTACGCTGTATATCAACAGTACTCCAGTGTATTCCCAAAAACTCATCAGGGGCATCATTTATGCACGTGTTAGCATAACAGAATTAGGGCAACAGCTATCCCCAAATTATCCAGGAACAACGCTCCAGTTTCCAACAATTGTTATAAATCAGGGTTTTATATTTTGGTATCACAGCTTATTTTCTGCTTGATGGCTACCTATGTGTGAACTTCATTTGTATTTACCATCTCTGTGTTTATAGGAAGAAAACAAGTCACTCTCTTAAAATAGCAGTCTGCAAAGAGTTTTTTAAAATACATATTCTTAGGTTAAAAATGTTGATGACTAAGCTAAAGAATACCACATGCCTGAACTTTGTTCTTTCAGGACATATTGTAGCTTTCAAGCAAATATAAAGCCCTTGATTCTGCAAATTGTCACCTCCCTCTCCTTTTACTATTATGGGCTGTTACTAACAAAATTTCCTTTTGGACAGATAGAAGAGGAAACCCAGCTCCTGGAGAGGCCAGCCAGATGGGTTTGTTAGTGTAATGAGAAAAGATAAGAAACAGAGCTAAAGTGTTGCTGGGTATGCCAGGAGATAAATATATGAACGTACACTTGGAGACTGCCTCGACTCCTGTCTTGAGGCAAGGTCAAGCAACCAGTTGGGAGGGACAAGGGGGTTGGGGCAGGGGAGGCATACGACACACTAAAAGCCAAAGAAAAGCCTGACCTTGGCCAGAACACAACCTTACTCCTTACTTTTCCCATGGGATACAAAAGAGGTGGTACCAAAGCCCCCAGACTCACGACCCACCAAAACGGAACATGACCATAAATTGTAAGGGGTGGGACCAGGGGCATGTGTAATCCACACACACCCTGGGTGTGGTGTTCTGTCCCATCTAGTGGCACTGAGGGCACTCAGAGAGAGAAAGAAAATGTGTCTGCTCTACAGGCTAACTGCCAATTGGCTTTTAGCTCATGTGGTAGAGGTGCCTGCTTTCAGCTCCAGAGGTCCCCGGTTCAATCCCACTCGCTGACAACCAGGGTCTGTCGGCATTACAAGTAGGCAGACTCATTTTATCTCTCTGTTTAAGTGGTCTCGGTGCCACTAGATGGGACAGAACACCACACCCAGGAGGTGTGTGGGTTACACATGCATTACAGGTAGGGTGACCAGATGTCCCGATTTTATAGGGACAGTCCCGATTTTGGGGTCTTTTTCTTATATAGGCTCCTATTACCCCACCCTGGTCCCGATTTTTCACATTTGCTGTCTGGTCACCCTAATTATAGGTATAATTAAGCCTGGGAAGGAGGAGGAGGTGGGAAAAACAGAGACTCTGCGGCGTACAGATCTATGGATATCCTTGCTTGATTAACCCCAACAAACATCTCATTTTCTGCACTTCAGATTTCTGGTCTTCTGCTTCCTGTCTGCATGACAAGAACCAGGAGAGAGCGAAGGGAAAGCCCTTAACACAATACACAAACTTTTTTCATACATACTTTTTGTTCTTCTCTTTCTGCAGCAAGGTTACATCTTTCTAATCCACAGGCTCTCATAAAATCTCGCAGGTAGCCAAATATTGTTCCAACGCCAAAGCCCAAATAAGTCAAAACAGCAACATACATTGGTGCTTGTTCAAAGTGTTCATTAAACGGCCTTTTGTAGAGCCCTCCATTTGATATGCCATTTTTCTGAAAATGCAAAATAAGAATTTGTGATTAAAACATTTCAGCTGGCCTTAAAACCAAAAATAATTTGCTTCAAGACCTCAGGCTTTTAGACACAATCTCTTCCTATAGAATAGCAGAGGTATATCACCAAAGCATTAGACCCAGCAAATCCTAAATTTAAGGAGGATTACTTCTTATGCTGTAGTCATTGTGACAGGTTCTAGGAATAAGACAAGCAATAACAGGAAAGGGGGTAACCTGGGCTTGTACCTTGAGTTAGCTTACAAAACTGAGATTGCAGAATATGCCAATGTTGAAATCAAGAGCTGTTATTTGTGTCCATGTAATAAAATTCAATTTTTTCCTGTGTATAGAAAAGATACTTCCACTGGACACTGATTGAAGGCTTTGCAGGCACCAAGAGAAATGCATAGATCCACTTAAAAAAAATAACAGAAAGGGCAAAAATCAATAATGGTGCTAATGCTGCTGATGCTCAATTTTATTTATGAAAATTTTATAATTTTTACTTGAAAGAGAGAGAGAATGAATTCTAGCTATATACACATACACATATATTTTATATACACACACAAACCCTGATTTGCTCTTGAGGAATTTGTCTCTACCTCATATTGGATTGTAACCTTATTATAAACCCTTTGTTTATAAATGTAACAAATTTTGGGTCACAAGTCACTGAATGACTAAACATCCAAGATGAAGGTTTGACAGGCTAAATCAATACTAATCAAAATTGATGGAGAAACATGATCAGAAATATGGATCTTATCAATACCTACAGCATCTATCTGTGCTGCTAAGAATATGGAAATTCAGAAGAATATCTAGCATGTAGTGAGGCGGTGTGAGAGAAGGGGAGGAACCACCCTCCGTGCACAAGTGGGCGGAGCCAGGCCTGCCTCGCTCCTCCCGCTGGAAGTACATCACTGGGACAGGAAGTATAAAGAGCAGGGCCTCCCGCTCAGTTGGGGCTGAGACACCAAAGGAGGCAGCCGAATCCTGCTCGCTCCCGGACGCTGATCTGCTGCTGAACCCAGTGATGTCCTGCCCGCTGGGGAGCCCGTTCCTGCCACGGACCTGCCAGGACTGCTACAGGCCACCTACCCAGAGGAGGCGGAGGATGCCCTGCTGTTCCACGTACACCCCAAGAGGAGGGGAGGAAGTGGCCCAGAGACAGTCGACCTTAGACTGGCTGCAGCTTTGCCTGAGGCACGGCCAATGTGTTACGATTGCGATCCCTGCTGACCCAGTGGCTGACCACTCCACCACTGTTAGGGCCCTGGGTTGGGATCCGATAGAGTAGGGTAGGCCCGGACCCCACCAGCCACCCCACCCCTGGGGTGGCAGCCTCCCCTCACCAGGCCCAGTGGCCTGTGCCCGTCGGTTGTCTGCTGGAGCCAGGATGTCCTACCTGTGGGGTTTCCTCTGGCTCTGCTACAAGAGCCCAGAACTGATTGACTACTGGGTTTGCAGTGTCTCTGCCTCCATAGGCCAGTGCTAATTGACTGGTAGGGTCGCTCTGACCTGGGCCAAAGGGCTTGGAGCTACTTAATGCTGGTGTTGGCCCGAGCCCCTGCCCCAAGGGCCCTGAGGCCATAGACTAAGGTGGGTGCAGCCCTGCTTGAAATGTCCAAGGGCCCTAGACGGTTGGCTGCACAACCCGTTAAAGTGGTCAGGACGCTAATGCCTACGCTGATTCCCCTGATGCGAGGCGGAGGCCCTGATGACGAAGTGAGGCAGTGTGGCCTCCCTCCAATCCAGAGGGAGAGGGACAACCGCCCCACCACTACAAGCCTCAAAAATGTTTAGTGAACTGGAAGATTTAAAAAAACAAACAAACACATTCCCTCTCTGTCAGGTTTAAATGTTGCAAAGTGTTCTGCATTCTTCAATGTATGTAAAGTATTTATTGTATCAGTCTTTGAGATGGGTTTATTTGTTCCTCATCCAGGATTACACATTTTGCCAATATTGACTCATTCAGAACTGGCTCATTTACTGCATTGCAGTTCTCAACAGTAATCAAACAGAATCATTTTTGTAGCTCTCTTGTGATGGTTGAAGCTATTGTACCATGGTACCATCCACTCCAGTGTGGTCACATAAGTGGGTCAGCTGCACATTGTGATTAACTGTGTGAAAATTAAAGGATGAGTACTGAGGTTTGGCCTCCAACCATGAAGGTCAGCCTTTGCAACACCAATGGAGATCTCCATGCCATGTCCTGACATTGATAAAACCTACCACAAAATAAGGCGAGGCAGTTTGTGAGCTACATGATGTGCACAGCTGATCTAAGTGAAAACATATTTCTATTATTGTCACCTTATATCCCAGAGCAGGGACACAAGGGTAGCAGCTTTGAAGGAGCCATCCTCTCCTTCACCCACAGCTGTGGGATTATATTTAAAACTTGTGTAGTGTGGCAGGTCAGATCCAATGTCATGCAGCTTTTCACATCTCCAATTCTCTTCCTCTGTGCTGCAACTCCACTGCTTCATACTAGTCTGGGTCCCTCCAAGATTGATCCATCTCCAAGCTGGCCTGACCACAATCACAAAAATAAGAAAGAGAAAAAACCTAGGAGAAATGATCTAGTAGGAAATGGGAATATTCAGCCACTGGTAGAGAACACATTGGCTAAAGCGCCAACCCAGAGGACAAATGACCCAGGGCAGTCGTTCCTCAGTGGGGGTGGGGTTTTAGTGGCAATTTGTTTCTCATTTGCCTCCATCACAACACCCTTCACTAATTCAATAAAGAATTCTGCCCCCAGCAAGTCCACTGTTGCTTCCATGAGATCAGAGCTTTGAAGAAATGAAAAAGATCCCGTCTCTTCTACTTATCTTGTGCAGTCTGCACTCTGAGCGAGAGATTGTTTTATAGACAGGCGTACCTCAGAGAGCCCAAGCAGTCTTGTCACAAGAATTCTGGTCCTTTTTTCTGACTAGAGAGCTCCTACCCAGAGAGATTACATACTCTGTAGTGGAGAAGAACATCTGGCAATCCACTGGGCAGCAGGGGCCCTATACTATCCATTCCTTGGAATCCCATTCTTGCTGGTCAAACAAGCACTGTTCAAATGGCTACATGCCATGAAGGGCTCCAACCGAGACATTACTTGAAATCAATAGGGCTGTGATGCCAGGTAGTTAAGTTGGACATCAGCCAGGAACATTGTCTTCCCCAAGCTCTTATGGCCTTCTGTTCCAAGGGCCACTGTGGTAGTTGGGGTTGGGGAGGAATGTAAAACATACAAATGGCAGGTAAGTATCTTCAAAGGCATCTCCAGCCACTTGGGCAGCGATAGGAGATTCCGACAATGATTTTGCAGCATTCCCCAGATCTGCAGGTCCCCTGCTCTCTCATCCGGAATCCTCTACTTTCTTTTTCATTGTCCCCAACCCAAATGTCAGTCAGACGCAGAGGGAAAAGGGCAACGCTTGCAGTCTTAATCTTTTCTCTTGATACAGCCGTAGTGGCTCCTGCAGAGTGCACTGAACTGTGGGCCCCACGCACCAGTAGTAATGCTGGGGTTGGATTTATCCCGCCTGGCTTGTATCACACACATACACACACAAAAGACTTCATAGCTAAAAATTCAGGCCAGGTCCTCAGCTGGTGTAAATCAACCTACCTCCTTTAAAGTCATGGAGCTAGGCTGATTTACATTAGCTGAGGATCTGGCCCTCATTCAATAGTTTCACACTATTCTTTGCCGCGAGTATAGTCTCAAAGAAACATTATAGTACAGGCATTAGACAAGTGCCGAGCTATGAAACCTTTTCTTAAACGTATGAACACAGCAAGGCTTGTAGAATTAGAAAGCTGTCAACACGGGCTTGTCTACATGGTGCGGCAAACCATGCCAGAGGGGAGTGATTTGTAAAGTGCACTAACGTGCTGTGCTCCAACTGCCCCATGTAGTCCCTGCTGGCGCACTCTAAACGATACTTCATTCATGTAAATGTAGTCCTGTTTGAAACTGGATACCTTTTAGAGTGTGCCAGCAGGGTCTACCTGAGGCAGTGAGAGCAGATCACGTTAGTGCTCTTTGCAAATCACATCCCTCTACCGTGCACTTTGCTGATGCCGTGTAGACAAGCCTTAATTCCTTCCCGCCTACTTTCATTTTGCATTTCTCACTTTATTTACCCATGCCTCACAGAGCAGAGCAAAGTTCACTTGATTCCCTTTCAGAGTAAGAACTGCTGGACTCTAACAATTTCTTCTCTCTCACTCACCCCACCCAATGCCCTCAACTGCAGGTGTCTGCAGAATCACTTGATGCTATACCCATCCCTCATATGTTTTGAAACTTCTGACGCTTATGAAAGACAGAGAACATATTGTTGTGTAACCTTAAAAAAATCTCACTGGTGATTACATGACAATCACAAAACTCTTGGTGTTTGCAAGCCTTTTCAAAATGACAGAGGTAAAAGAGCTACATTCACAACTCCCCTACAACAAACCTGAATTTCCCCCCACAAGCCTTGGGTAATTCATGGGAGCAGCTAACCCATATATAAAAAAAAACTTTCTAAAGTCAGACACTTATACTACACAGTACTTCAGAGGCAAGCAAGTATCCACAATTGATGCAATCTCTCCCTTTCTTTCCATTTCAATTGCATTTTTCCAAATATTTTTATTGGATCGGAATGCATTTTTAGTGGCATGTGCCCTACCTATAAGAACACTTAAAAAAAGGAGAGACATTGTATTTTGTCAGTATTTCTGCCTTTCGCAGACAGTGTGTTATCTTGTTACGAACAGGTCTTGTAAACCAGGGTTGTCATTTTATTTTGGATTAAAAACAATGCCCAAGAACCACCACCATCTTTAATACCAGAGAAGCTAATTATCACACTATTGCAAGCTTTGCCTTTTCAACACTTCTGCCCCAGACCAAGCTGAAACCCCCTATACTGGCTACGGATTAGCCTGCCCTTTGAAGACTAGATATCTTCAATTAATCTGTGCAAGGGATCTTG